TCTAGTGGGACTGTATATGAGAATGCATAAAAATGTCTAGAGCGATCAAACTTTGCACAGAGAAAGCAATATTTATTTAAGTATCAGAGGCATGGTGCAATGCTCACATTATGTCAGCGTCCTTCCTTTTTCACCATCTCCACCTGTAGAGGGAGTCTCAGCTTTCTCAGTAGCTTCATGTCTCATAATATCATGTCTGTTAAGGCAGACAGCATGGAGATGAGAGAGCGGATCCAAATGCAGACAAAGGGGGATGGAGGTGGACATTAACAAAAACTGAGCAGTTATTTTGGCTGAACAAGACAACAAACAAAAGCAAAGAATGACTAAAATGGAGGTAACAAAACATATACAATAAATGGTACATTTACTGTATGAACCGACAACAGACAGAGCAAGACAGAAAACAAATACACAAAAGGGTAACAAAGAAATGAGAACCAGGAAAGAAAAACAGCTGGGACTAATCACACACATACTCATTTTCATATCTTAGTACCATCAAAACTGAATGCCTAATTCTAACCCTCAGCCTAAACCTAACCGCAACCTAATTGTAACCCTGACACTAAAACCACATTTTGAGCCTCAAAAATGCCTTCAAATGGACGCACGCACGCGCGCACACACACACACACATGCACACACAACACTGCGAAGAAGCAAAACCAAACACACTAAACACATGACGAGGAACTATCAAAATAAAACAGGAAACATGAGACACAGACTGAGAGGCAGACTTGACGCTGGATCTGGGGCTTGGCTAGACGCGACACATGGAATAGACGGGAGGCACAGAGACAGAAACCAAGAGACTAGAAATCACAAAATACTAAAGAATAACTAAGGGAGCCAAGAATACAAAAGACTAAAGCATGAAAATCCACTAAATTTTAGAATATTAATAATCAAAACATAACCACTGGGTCACCATGACAGGACAATGACACAGGCGAGAATGTGACAGGTCATCTGCGCCTGCTTTTGTTTATTTGATTAATCAATTTCAAAACTGCACTGGTCTTCATTAATTCAGACTTAATAATTGTCATTTGCTGTTTAGTAAAGTAATTTCTTGATCTGAAATAGCACAGAGGAAGTCAAACATATCTATGAACTCTTGTCTTTTATAGACCATGTGCAAACAGGCTCTTGGTATATGTGACATAATGGTACTTTACCACACTGGGTATGGAACAGATGAGTCTGAAGGACAGTTAAGCAGTACATGGCCCTCTGAAAATAACCAGATATGCATGACTTTAACGTGACATAAATTACATGATTATTTATGAGATCTGTCCCAAACAATAAGCATTTTCTAACATATATTGTCACAGATTAGGTTTCTGAGTCTTTATTGTTCTCTTACAACCAGAAAAGTTGCTGTGTGTCTTGTAAAATTCTAAAATTAAAAATTTGAATCATAATATATCTAAAGTAAAATAATATACAGGTATGCAGTGAAATGTCAGAGCTTAGTACAAACAAGAGAGGTTTAATAATAGTGATGAGATAACAGGAAGGGGAAGTGGCAATAATACACGGAGCTTTTACTGCTGCTGATTTATCACTGCTCTGTTCAATAGAGTCCAGTCTTCACTTCAGAAACCACTCTTCTCTTTCACAAGTCTTTTTCCGCCCAGCTGGTAAGTTATTTGAGTTTATTTAATCAAGGACAGCGCATGAGACAATGATACACGATAAAGCAATGCAACTGTTGTTTTGTACAGAGGTTTTCTAGCCAAAAGCTAGTGTCATACCAGTTGCCTTGTTCCCAACATCGCCACTGACTGCTCTCAAACGTGCCACCCATGCTCCAGAGTCAGCTGGTGTTTGCATAGTTTCAGTGTTACAGCCTGCCTCCTACATCAGCCTGCTCCAGTATCAAAGTCACAGCTAACCTTTGCATGTCTAGCTTTTAAGTTCCTGCTTGGATCAACCTCCCAAGCTTCTGATCCAGAGTCGTGACTGGACACAACCTTTCCAGTGACAGCATCTGAACCAGAGCTAGTGCTTCTCATTCTTTTACTCCTAAGATGGATGAGGCCTCAGCCATCTGATTCCCAACCTGTGACTGCCTGCCCATGCTCTTCTTCAGTACCATTGCTCTGAAGGGTTTCGCCTCTTCTGTTGGCTTCCTAGAAGCACTCTGCTTCGACAGTTTCACTAAATAGTTATTTTACTCTCCTCAGCTCAGGTTTTGTTACAATGTGAATCATGTGTTTATTTATTTGTAAGCTAAAACATCAGTATAAATTAAACTAAGTCATAGATGTTATACTTTCTGGTTTTATATGCAGATAGTTAGGTGTTCATTTGTGTTATAGCAGCTTAATGGAATGTGGAAAAGCAGGGATGTTTTTGGGGGGATTTTTTTACATTATATTTTATTTTTTCCACAAAAAACATCTTAATTAGTAGATGCAAAACTTACAAAACTTACAGTTGGAGTAATAATTGATATTTTATCATAGACACAATTAGATCAGGTAATTCAATTGGAC